TTTTGATGAAACTCGGATTCTGGTGCCTAAGAATGTGGGCCTAAATAATGAGACCAATTCCAAGATTCTAGCTGCACGGCAACTGGGCTAATATAATACATTATCATTTAGCCCAATAATAACTATATTAATGTATAAATTACCATTGAACCATGATTACATTTTATTTTTAAAAAATGCCAATCCCAATAAAATATTTTATAAAATATCTAACATGACCTTTATCATGTGAATTTTAAATCATATCTAATCATGTTTATACTTTAGATAAATATTAAATAATATAATATAATATTTTATAAATTTTATAACAAATTTTAGTCATAGATTACTTTAATTTTTATGAAATAATTTTATTTATACATTATAATTATAATTAATATTCTGTTGAAAGATCACAATAACAGAAAATGCTGGACAAGGCGTACGACATGTGCCGGCAATACCTGAGCGGACAATGGGATCACATCACCAAAGAAGAGATGGTGTTTAAAACAATCAGGTATTAATCAATTAGTTATTTTAAACATTAATTAAAACTAACATTTAATTAATCAATACATTTAACTAATCATAAGCGGCGGTGGAAGCAATGATTTATATTACTGTTCATTACCTGAGGGTCGGGAACCGTTGTCCAGTGAGCCCAGGCATGCGTTGCTGCGACTGTACGGACCCATGACTACAATCCCGGGCGACGACTATAAGGTAACCGATAGTCTCATAACAATGCTATTGTCTGAACGGGGTTTGGGTCCCAAACTGTACGGTGTATTCCCCGGCGGCCGACTCGAGGAGTTTATTCCCGTAAGTAATTGACCACATTTTATTAAATGTTAATAATTAACATTAATTCTAACACTTAATAGTCCCGTACAATGGAGGACCGAGAGCTCAGAGAACCCAAATTCAGGGCCATTATAGCCAAAAAATACGCTCAAATACACCAACTGGATGTGCCTATTGATAAACACCCCGATGTTTTATTTAAAACACTCGAGCAATACCTCGACACAATACGCAACCACAAGGCCAGCCCTCAAGACACAAACCCATGTCCTAACCCGGAACTCGAGCGGGAACTCCTGGCCTACGACTATCGCCGAGAGCTACTATGGCTGAGACAAGTGCTACCCGAATGCGGGTCACCCATAGTGTTCACTCACAACGACCTGACAGCGGGTAATATACTAATACCGGACGACCCCATGGCCTACGAGGACGGCCTACTGTTCATTGATTACGAGTTCGCCGCCTATAACTACCGGGGTTTTGATTTTGGCTGCTTTTTCGCTCAAGCACAGTTTGAATATTTCACACCCGATTACCCGTACTTTAGGGTAGACTTTGACGCCTATCCGACCGATGAGGAGAAGCGACACTTTATGTGCCATTATATCAAACATTCACCCGATTTGAGCGCCGGGAGGGAAACGGAGGACCAGTTGATCAAAGAGTGTGACTGTTTTGCACTCACAGTCTATCTGTTTTGGGCCCTTTGGAATATAGTTAAACTCAGGACATCACTCTTGCGCTATTCTTATTGGGTATGTAATAGTTGTGCTAGTTACTTTGTATTTTTTAAATAATATTTTATTTATTATTTTATTTCTCATTAATATTGATGTATAGGAGGACTCGAAAGCTAAACTAATCGCTTATCACAAACTCAAAGATTATGTCATTAAGAAATATAATTTTAATAATTAAAGAAAAATTAAAATTATAAATTTAATTTTTTAATCAAATCTGTAATTAAATTACAATTTTGTTCTAAGAAAATGGGCATATTTTTTATAGCAATTCTAATACTTTATGTTAATTTACCATTTTGCAATCTTTAAAATAATAAAATAAAATAATTACAAATACAGTTGCATGTCTACAATATATAAATTATTAAATTCAATATATGACACATTAACAAAAATAATTGATTTAATTTATCAACTTATTTGTAACCTTATAATTTAGTCTCATGGATTATTTTAATTGTAATTTATTCCTTTATTAAAAAACGTCTTGATTATATTTCAAAAATAAAATTCATTTTAAAAATTTTGCAATTAAAATGTTAACTACTGTATGTGATTTTGAAATAGTGAATTATTAACCACATGGCAAACTAGATCATTATCATTATCAACTAGATCATTACGGAAACTTGAATACCGCTTCGCTAATAGCTTTGGCCACGTATTTAACATTTTTGGTGTTGAGTCCGCACAGAGACAGCCGGCCGTCGGATAACATGTATATGTGATACGAGTCACGCAAATGAGTGACCTGTCTCTCCGTGAGTCCCGTATAGGAAAACATCCCTATTTGTCGGGTTATATGAGACCAATCGCCCGGTGTTTCCAACGCTTCCAAATGTTGCCGCAATTGTTCCCGCATTTGACGCATACGTGAAGCCATTATTTTCACACAACCCTCCCTTATATACAGTAAATTAACAATTATGATCATTTAACAATCAATTATGATTATTTACAGTAAATTATTACAGTAAATATGGTCTGAAGTAAAAGTGATTATGGAAATAAAACATGTAAAATACCATTCAGTATACAATTGCTTGTCATTTAATATAGCGGCCACAATGCGTGACCCGTGCGCCGGCGGACTACTATATTGACCACGCACAATTGGCAACAATAACGAGTAAATATTATCAATCGGTCTAGTGTGGCTTAACACGATTGTTAGATTGCCAATGCGTTCATCTAGAAACATAAATAGTAATTACCCTAATGCTGTTTTTACAAAAATTAATCACACATACTATAGAGACCGAAATTTTTGGCAAATGATTGCGCGCATATTAACTCAAAGCCACGGTTTGCAAACATACGGACAGCCCGGGCGTCGGTGTCGGTATCGCCCGACGCGAAGCCCTGATAGGCGCAGTCAAAGTAGGGAAACAGCCGGCGCTCAGCCATTACATCGGCTATGAGTGCCCACTGGCTGTCCGTCGGGTCCATTCCCGTCGGGTTGTGAGCGCACGCGTGCAGTAATACCACTGATTTGGGCGGCACTTGACCTAAGTCTGCCAACAGGCCATCGATGTCCAGTTGGCGCCGAGCGTTATCGTAGTACCGATAGTATTGCACATTATAGCCAGCTCTTGAAAATAGCAGCTTATGGTTTACTATACGTAATGATAATTTAACAAATTATTTATCTTAATTGATTTATACTATTAAACATCTATTACAATATGAAGGATCCGATATATAGATTGTGTCGACTCCGAGTGATTCCCTCAAAAAGTCGGCCCCGATCTTCAGGGCTCCCGTCCCGGACAGGGTCTGCACACCCATTGTCTGCGCAAATATAATATACTTGTAATGACACTGTTGTACTAATTATTACATTATATTTATTTTTTTAAACCCGTTTTTCAGCGATGGCGGGGCTGTCGGCGCCCAACAATAGTTTAGTGGCCGCTCGAGTGAATGACTGGTCGCCCAATTGACTCAAGTATTCGTGGTGTAAGTCTGTGGCCATCGCTAATGTTTGCTCCACTTTCTGCACAACCGGTAGTAGATATGGCTTTCCCTCATCCGTCCGGTAGGCTATCAATACATTTTAATACATGAGAGAGAGAGAGAGAGA